AGTATCAGCATCGTGGCCTGTTGTCGAAGGTGCGAGGGACAACAACCACGTTATTTTACAACAATTATTACATCTTCCCATCGCTCCCTACACACTGCCAGTACTTATCAATTAGCCTACGTTAGAAACACAGAAATTCTTTTAAACAAATTGCGACAAGTTGACGAATTCGGATCAATGCCTGAGATATGTGGGTCACTCTTCTCTCCCGACTTTCGTAACAAAAAGACAGCTGCCGCGTGCGAGACTCGACAAATGGAACTTTTCACGAAGCGCACTTTTGACACTTCGAAAATAATCCGTTCCCAGCGAACGTGTTTTTTAATCGACCGAGCCGTTGCCAAAGCGCACGGCCGATCGTCAGGCTCGTCGATCTCTTCGCGCGTATACGTAATTTATCGACAATCAGAAGAACCGGGCGATATGAAATATCGGATCGTGGAAGCAACGAGCGCAAAATGTTCGGTCGCGTTATTACGGCCACTTCGAGTTGGCAGTCGACGGAACTTGGCAACCGAGTACAACTTCATTTTCGAGACGGATAGCGACGATGGCTTATTACACGCGTCGAGGTCTCTTATACTTTTTCGTCACAGGCGCCACACAAATAAAGTTTATGATCCGTCGTTATTTCCGATACGCCTGAGAAAACGATGATTCCCTTGCCAATTCGCCGATTGACGAGTAGAACCCGAGGCTTAACGCTATCGATAGAAGAGTCTCAATATCTCCGAAGAAGAAAAAGATCTCGTTATCAACACAGTTCCATCGGAATCGTCGACTCATCGGATTAACGGCGACGATCGATCAAATGAAAATACCGCACATACTAAGTACCGATTAAATATTTATTTTACGAGAAGAGTAAGTGCTGATTACGACTTTGTATCACGAGAATCGTTTTTTTACTACGTCGATACTTTGTATCGTAAAGCAACGTTCAGTAAGCCCGAAGGTATAAAAGATCTGTTTGCTTCTCTGTCTTATCTAATGGGAAGATACCGTCCTCACTGCAATTACTTTACGCGAGGAAAAGTTAAATTAACACTTATGAATACCCGTTTATAGAATGATTTATTCTCGTGCGCAGAGGAAAAGGCCAGCCTTGACCTTACCGTTCCCCATATTTTTTCCTGCACAACTTGTCCCGATTTTCGTGCATTGAAATCAATACGGCACTTGTCACACGCGCAAATTTTAAATGACATTACTCATGCAATGACTTAATGCCCACGTAATACATTCAATAAAGCTCTATTGAATCCCGCGTATCCTCGACCTGTTCGCCGTGCCTACAGTATATCCCCGGCATCATTATACCCGGACTGCCTTCGAAAGTACCGGACAAGTGTCCGATCGCGACGGTTCTAAAGATGTTGTCCGCAGGACAACGAGAAAAGGGTGAATTGCGATTCAATGAGTGGACGGGTGCATTGGCGAACGTGGCCGCCCGAGGGTATCCGGAGTGCATTAAATCACGAAAATCGTGCGAGATGCCAAAACGACGATAATACTCGCCGCTGTCTCGGCCTACGCGACATGCACGCCTTTCGCATAATAATGCGTCAGGGAGAATAATCTGTGCCAGCGTTGACCATTGCCAGATTCGAAGTACGTAAGCAAACTAAAGGGCTATGCGCTCGAAAATGTCGTCCTCCAACGAGCGCAAAACAGATCTATGTTTCTTATCGGGAAATCGTACTTCTCCCACGTTGGAAACGAAAATCGAGAAATATTTTTCTACGTACAATTACCTTGATCGGCGTCGGTTGAGAAGAAATATTGTGCTGAGACAATTGCGAGAGACGAGAATGGAACAAGAATCATGCGTTACGACGATAATAAGAGCGAACCGGGTTGGTAAAACGAGGAACAAGATTTGTCACCGCAGCGAATGGTCAACAGAAATGAGAAAACAAACTTCCACACGAGGCATCACGCAACGCGACCGAAATATTACTCTTGGGAAGCGTTAACACCCTCACGTTTCCGTTTTAGAAACAATTTCGACCGTGTTCACGGGTCAGCGTCGTTTTCTCCCGGAACGTTTGCCAAACCGCCGAGACCACGATCATTTGTCCGCTTCGGGATCGTCTTGTACCACCGTAAATCCGGACTAATTAAACAAAGACTTCGGTCGCACGCTTACACGCTGCATACGTCACTCACTCGATTACATTGTATTATACGTGCATTCAACTTTCGAACAGTAACAAATGAACGCCTGTTTTTGTCTGACGAATACAAGTCTCAGATTTACTCAGAAATATCCGATCTCTCTCGTAGAGATCGGGGATCGACTTACTTCATTTATTCGACCGATACATCGAATCTCAGCTTCTAATCAATTTATTACGTTTCATATTATCTCGCTCCTTTTTAATTTTTAAAGCGCTTATCGGACAGATAAGACGTTTCACTCTAGAAACTTCTATTTGATCGCGAGTGCGGAGCAAAAATTTCGTTTCTACGAAACGGGAGTCGTTCCCGGAAGCATGCAAAAATCGAATCTGAGCGAGGAAGACATAAAGGCTACCATGGAAGATGGAAACTAGGGAGCCACGTGTGTGGTCCCGTCGAAGCACGTGTTGCCAAGTTCGAGAGCATAACTTTTTGTGTACAAAGGGAGAAGCGAGATTCCCTTTTTCTCGGAGAACAGCGAAATTCCTTGGCCGCCGTCTAACCCGAAAACCCAATCACGCTGTGTTCAGATCGCGGGACAGAATTCGACGAGCGCGAGGCACCGTGCAAGAAATGCACTTGTAATTATCGCGAAACTCCTCCCGTGCATCCGACCGAAAACCCTCGTCGTTCCACCCACCGCGTCCCAGTCGAATCCAGCGAATCGATCACTGTCAATTCCTTTCTTTCGTCGAACTATTCGCATCAAACGACCGAACGAAAAAAACTGACCAATTAAACGGCGAACGATTTATCGCAATGCACGCCCTTTCGTTACATTCTTTCAAACCTTTTTCCATTTTACGATGCAACTGTTTTTATCACAGATAATTGAGGATAATTCCATTCCGTTTACTTTTAAGCATGTTGCTCTCACAGGAATATCAGTAAATACTGTCTTCAGTAGCATTGTGTAATAGATAATTTTAAACTCGTATTTGCTTCTTCCTTTTTAAACCATACATCGCTTTCAGCGGTATCCTGACATCAGCCAAGACAAAATATTTCATAAATAATAATGATTCCTGGCAGCAAATGCGAAACAAAAATATCACGCGAGCAAGTAAGACATTGAGGTCTCGTGGATTTTAGAATCAATTTGGAAGAATTTTTTACGAACGCCAAGACGTGGTACGTATTAATTATGACTATGAATAAACATGGGAAAATAAATAATAGTCGACCCGAAACTGAAGTCTTTTTGAATACAGTAGACTAACTTCTATTAAAAATAGATAAAAGGGAATTCACTGTTTCTTACTTCGATTAGAATCTGATTAAAAATGAAATTATCGCAAGTTTGCTGTATCATCCGGGAAAAAACGATATAAAAATAATGCAAAAATCTTTTGCGATTGGAACACGCGGAGGCCTCTGTCAAGCGTGAGGTTAACCACGCAAGTAGTTGGATCTTATCGATGCCGCGTAGCAACGTTCAGCAATGCGGGAGGCCCGACTTAACCACAAAATGAAATAAGCATTTACTACAAATCCCAATGAAAATCCTATCGATCATTCCTGACAGATTATTAAAGAAAATGACGCAACCGGCATAAGAACAAAAAATCCTATCCTCGTTGTCGGATGAAAGTGCCAGTGACAATTGAAACGAACGCACGTTCCGGATAGTTTCGATATACTTATTTACAAATGGCCAAATGTGATCATTACCACCCGTAAGTGTCGAGATAAAGAAAAGTCGATAGGCGAATGACAATTCGAAGAAACGACGGAATCGTTTAACAAACAAATGCAAAGTCGTATGTGGGAACGAGGGTGTGCAGTAGCCGCGGAACGTGTTTTACGGACGCGAGAGTTTTAATTTGGTGAATGTCTGTTACTCACCCGACGATCGAAGCCCGTAAGGGCCTATGCCGTTGATCTCAATAAATTCTGATCGATCCTTTTAACACTGAATTCGAAAACACACCTCTCCGAATCACTTGTCACTAATTAAAGTCCTCGCGATGGCGGCCATAACTACGTTTAGTCGTTAGTTGCTACGTTGACCGCGAGATGGAAGCATTATACGGTCAAAGCGGCCAACGGCGCGATTGCACTCTGGCTACCGCGCGGAAATTCAAAATTACCCTGAGTTTCACTATTCCTCGATACACGGCGCTATGATCGAAATTCCTCAAATCGTCTCAGTGTCGGTTTAGTTAGGTTAAATCGTTCTGCAAAAATGGTGAAATTTTTGCGACAAGCACCCCTAGTTGGAGTTTTGCGGCCTATCTATGATAAGCCACTTGGTACGTCGTACAATAAAATACTTGAATAATGCATTATATATAAAAATTCTTCTAGGATATAAAATAAAAGTTTTGTGGAAAGAATTTAAAAGGGTTAACCCTTCATTAGCGTTTTTCGGGCCTCCTGGTTACTTGTCAGGCCTCGTTTTAGCTGTACTAACGACGTACCTAGCTCTAAACGAGAACCCTGTTAAGAAATATTATGATCATATTCGTAGTAAGTATCTAACTCTTCCATCATCTATTTAGTTTTTGCTGTTATATAAGTTGTCAGCAATTGAAGGTTTAAGTGCTAGGATTAGACAGCTCCAGTCTTTCATAAGAATTAGGATTTTATTATGTTTAAGGTATAGAAATAAGTCCATATCCACTGTGTAAGACATACAATTCCAATGTTCTATCTATTTTAGAGTAGGAATGCAGCTCCCTGGATGTAGCATTCGCTGTATTTTTTTAAACAATTTCTCTCAGTTTCTACTTATATATAAACATAGAGCTGCCTGGTCCTTGCATTCAATTATAAAATTACTTAGTACTTCTTATACGACTTTGATACATATTAATACGTTTGAAATTTCAGTTTTCAGAGCAGACGATCCACGAGTCAAAACTATTAGAACAGATGACTCCATAGGTATGACTTTCTTAAACGTAAATAACGCAATGCTGCCTCAAGATTATTAAAAACAGAGGAATGATCAATTAGACTTAATAATATTGTATAATATACTTAGTACACTTGTGTAAATTGTACCTCTATAAATAAATCCTTTGTGTTGAAAGGTATAACTCTGTTTGTTAATCCTTCAACTATAAAAATGATATTTACTGAACGAATATCATATGGGATAATAAATGCTAATGCGATTTGATTCGATACTACATGCTAGGATTTTGTAATCACTACTTTGAAAAATTCGCATGAGATTACTATTGAGAGCGACCCGTAAAGTAATTTCCAATCTAAAAATGAAATAATTATATGCTGCAGTGTGAGAAGACACCACTCTAAGCATATTATTGACTAATTTGTAGATATCTCCTTAGACCGGATTAAAATTTTACTTTCACCTCTAGAAACCATGCAATACTTGAATTAAAATGCGAGAATAAATACTATGAACTATCCGTAATTTGTTTAGCCAGCGTGCTCGCGGCATTAAATTTTAGAAGATTCGCGTACGTTTGAACAGATCACGGCTGTACAATGTAAATTCAACATGAAATGTGCATCGCTCTGGCCTGAACCCAGCCAGTTGCAGGGGATGTGCACCTAGCAGTAGCGCGCAGGATCGTAGGGTCGTAGGGCGACCTGTGCCTGCTGCTACTGTAAGCGTATTTGTACGCCGCCGCGGGGCTGACCGTGTTGTACGTTCTTTTGTAACATGCGAGTGAGTGACAGCGGCGGCAGAGAAACGAGAGAGACAGACCGAGCAGGCAGGAAGAACGGAAAGAGAGATATTAGGTTGAAGAAAGAATGGACGAGGATGGAAAGCGATAGGAGCAACAGGAGAGAGAGAAAGCGACCTTACGGCGAGCTAGACAGAGAGGAAAGTGTACTACTCCATAAAGAGCAAGTAAAGGGGCACAGAATGTGGCTCCTGGCTCCCGTAGTCAAAGGAAACCGGAAGGAACGGGCATCGCACTGGAACTAAAGTTGTACATACAATGTCAAAGAACTTGAGAACCCGCAACAAGGAGAACGAAAGAACGTGAAAAGTAACGAATGTGTAAAACAGAAACTGTAAGGGCGACAGGGAAGAAGGGGTTGAAAAAGGCAAGAGGGGCGATGGTATGGTGTGTGGAGGGAGGTAAGGGTGAGAGAGAGAAGAGAACGGAGAGAGCTCCGTACGATACGGACCACCCCTCGGTGGTTTGCCAGTGGTTCAGTCAGCGCTTCGCACCGGCGTCGCATCTCTGGGCCGCTCGGTGGTGATTCGTCTCGGTCAGCCTCGTGCAGATAATCGCGTGGCCGATGTCGCGAGATCAATGAAAGGACGATGCGTAACACTTTGCCTGAACGGCGACGAAAATAACGTGGCAGATGCAACCGTGACGGAAGATCGACAGCGTCGCTCCGAATAGAGTGCACTCGTCTGTCGTCGATTGAAACGCGGCAAAAAGGAAGAGGAACAGTTGCCTCCTTGTACGTCGATGCCGCTTCCTTCCGCGGGTGTTCGGATAAGTGATTCGCACGGTGTTTTATTCTGGTGATAAGAAAGCTGGGAGCGGAACAGAAAGAACGGTAAACGCACTACAAGGACCCGAAGAGGTCCTTAACGGCGAACTGTGCATGTCTGAAACCTTGCTACGAAACTTTTCACCTTGCAAAGCTCTGTTTACATCCTTGAGGTAAGCATCTCCGACGTTCTGACAATTTATTCTACGACCGTTCTTTATTCTCTCCTTGGAAGATAGCGCAGGACTCGGGAGATCTTGTCGAAACGACTGCACGAGATTTAGAAACTATAGACTCTACCGGCTCATTTATGCCTGAGTTAATTACGAACAAAGAACCGTGCACGTTCTCCGAGATATTATTCGTGAAAGATCGATTGAAGTCCCCGTTCCGATCTCTTTAACGAGCACCTCTGGATCGCTCTTAATTACTCGGGGTCGACAAATTTTCTACGAACCGTGTTCTTGTGTCCCACTGGCTGTCCGACCGTACTCATTACAATGGAACATGAATTTTCGATAGTCCTCTAACAAAGAGGCACTTTAGCAATCGTACCTCGAATTTTCAACCGAGTTGTTCCTATATTATGCAATCTGAACCGATCGCTTGTATTTCCATTCGTACACTTACAAAACCAACTTGCAATTTGAATTACGAAACGTGCACCATTACCTAATACTAACGACTTGAGCCCAACATGTGTTCTCCGAAGAGAAATCTTGACAGAAGAACACTGATACTATGAAATGGAATCGCCGCCGAGGCAACGATCCATGGAACACTCTGATAAACCTCCTTTTCTTTCTGCGTCACAGCCCTTGTTCTTCGCTAGATAAATATGTACACAGTTTTCGTTTCGTTACATAAGTACTATGTACCATGTACATGTTTGCGCGGTGCAAATGTTTAGACGGTTCGTTAAACAGCCGATGGTTATTTCTCGCGTGGTACCGTTTCTTATCTACCGTCCACGGGGCGCAATGAATGAACGCGATGAGTAAAGCGACTCGTAAAACGAAGTTGGATCACGGCCAAGCCACGGTACCCTGCACGTAGAACTACCGTGCACGCCAGCTGAAACAGCTGCTTTAACCCAACTTGTTGCACCGTCGAACAAACGAAACGATTCGGCCCTGCACCCTTGCACTGCGCCCGACACTCTTTGTTATTCAGCAAAGACGCGATGATTCCACGCCGCGATTCAATATCCGTCCTCGTGCTTAGCATATATTCTGGCGATAGATAACGTGTGCAGATAAACTGTCAGGCAAGTTCACGGGTAGACCTCGCTGTCATTGATTAATGGTGCAATTATGGGATCCATAAACTGTTAGGCGTACCGTTTGAGGATCGCGGTGGGTATTGCGTTGAAGGAAATTGATACCGTAGCTGTAACGTGCCGAAGCGTGCACCTGAAACGTGCCAAACCGAGCAACGATAATTCTTTACAAAGGAATTAGCAATAAAAACAACGTTGATAGGAACCATATAGAGAATATTTTAACTAAGAGATTGAATCGCAAAGAACAGAGATAAAATAAGTATTCGTACACGCTACGTACTTAATAGATTCTATATAATGCACGTGAAAAGCGGATCAGGACACTCGTCTATGTACACCGGCTTCCTCTTCGATGGATAATAAATAATTGCTTTAAGGAGATTGCGTTGCATTCAAAACCGACAAGCTTTCTCGGTGTTTCATGCGATGTAAAAAACCGAGCCAATCTTTCGGAAACAGACTTTTTGTGTCGGTGTTTCGTAATCATTCGATCGATGTTCCCGTTAGTCGCTACTAATTTCGCTCTTTTACTGCTTGCCGTGCCCATTTTTCATTTTCTCGGACGAAAAATTGTATTGGAACAGCTCGTGGATTAGAACGGTGTTGATTGAAAACACAAAATATGGTCCGTTGCCGTTCCGGTCTGGTCTTAAGATATTTCTAAGATTCTGGATCACGTACGAGACACGAACAACTGGTTATTTACGATTGTGTATCAACTATATGATTTAGGTAGTAAATGTTATTCCTCGTTCCTGTTTCAAATACACACCAGGAATACAAATTGGATAATCGCTTAATCGCTGAATGAATAATGTGCAGCCACTAATCTATCAGCTGATAAATCTCGTCCCCTCAAACGCTTATTTTACTTCACTGGAATACTAGAAACATGTTTATTGCTCACATTTTACAATTAATTCTTTAATCCCAACTGATTTTATTAAGAAGGTTCCCCGAAATAATCTCGAATCTGATTAAAATAAACGAATCTGCACTCATTTTTATTGACACAATTAAATTTCTAAGATAGAGCCTTTATTTATATGTATAGTCCAAAGCGAAAAATACTTCGGTTTCGATCCAAATTTTATGAGAGACTTTATTTCTACTAAAATATACGACCAATTCGGAATTTAACGATTGATAATTATTGAGTTATTGCGTAAATTTCGCAATGTCAGTCCGAAACCGAGCGTGGATGAACCGTGGATGTCTGAAATTCCCCGGATGTTGTAATCGAGCTGAGTGGATCTCGAGTACGAAAACGTTCGGTAAATTACGCGAAAGTGAGTGCATAACCGAAGTTCACCGGTGCCCGAAACTTCGCTCGTCTGTTCACGTTTTATCGAATTCTCGCTGGTTGACGTTACGTCAAGAATTTTCACCTTAAGACGGAGTCCTTCAGAAAATCGATCACAGCTCGAGACATTTGACCCTAACTGAACGAGTTACCGAAAACAACTTCTCGCGCCCCTAACACGAACTTCGAGAATCAATTTTGTTTAGAACGTGACACCTCAAATCTCACCTGTTTCCGCTGAAAGCTTTACACTTGTAATTGAACGAAAGAAATACGAGAAGTAACGGAAAATGAAATCCGCTGGAAAAGATGTTCCGTCTTTGGGAACGTGCGATCCGAGAAACAAATCGTCGAACAATGTCCAACGTGGTTAAAGATTTAACGTGTATTTTAGATCGTTCACCTTTAACAATCTGTAAGTTATTTTTATATGGAATTTACTGAGCCATTTTCGGAAGGGTGAGCTCCGCTCGTGAACACCCGAGGATACCTATACATTTCTCCACCTCGACACCGCTCCGACAAAAGCTTTGTGTGCACATACATCAATATCCCCTAAACTAAGTCAACCCTTATTCATCGTTCCGAGCCCTCGCACCTCGAAAACTGGCAGAGTGCTGAAAATACCATAATCGAAGAACTATGAATCCCCCTACACGAGTCAAATCCGATCATATCTTTACCATACATTATCATAACATACGTCGTCGTTGTCGCCCTTTGATCAACACGTTCTTCGATTCTACACATTAGTCCCTGATCCTTAAAGATGCATATCCACTTGTATCAAGTTATCCTCGCATATCATGTATACCGGCGTTCATAAGTTTCATAACGTACCGTAAAATATCCAACGAAATAAAAGAATAATCAATTCTTTTATATGAAGCACTCTCTCTCTCTCTCTGGAACAATTAATAATTCACTGTATGACTTATTAAATGAATTTTGTACAAAGATGCCATTTTTCCCCGTTGATAATGATACAAAGGAATGTTACAATTGGATACTTGTATTAACAG